CTCTCTTGTTCTCTTTATCTCTCCATCTCGCTCTCTCGCGCTCTCTCTCTCTCTTTCTCTATCGTTCTTTCTCTTTATCTCTCTCTCTCTCTCTCTCGCTCTCTCTCTCTTTCTCTCTCTCTCTCTCTTGTTCTCTTTATCTCTCCATCTCGCTCTCTCGCGCTTTCTCTCTCTCTTTCTCTATCGTTCTTTCTCTTTATCTCTCTCTCTCTCTCTCGCTCTTTTTCTCTCTATCTCTCCCCCTCTCTCTCTTCCCCCCTTTATCCCTCATCTCGTTCAACTCTCTGCTGGGTTCAGGTTCCATTCAGTGACAGAGAATCCGTAGTCATGACGACCCGACCACGCCACGGGCCGCATCGCGCCATGCCGGAGATGCACGAGATGTGGGTCGCCTGCATATCGGCGCTCTCCCGGGGCATCAGAGGTCGCCTGCGTATCGGCGCTCTCCCGCTGTATGCGGAATGTACCCGTACGTCGTGTATCTCGCCATTTCACCCGCGAGGTGGCTCTCGTGCGTCTATCGGTGACGTCATTAAAGTGACGTCAGTAAAATCGTAAAGTGACGTCAGTGTGCAACACGAAGGTCAGCTGTCGACATTGTCTTTATGGAAACCGTACCGCAACAACGGGTGGCCACGCGCCCGAAAAACATCGCTAAAACACTATCTCGCAAAAACATTAAATTGCTCGTGATTTTTTTGAAAAAGTGAGACGAGCGTTTTGCAGCGGGAAACATGCCCTGTGCTCGCGATGATTTCCCAGTCACGACGAAGGTTGCTGATCTATGCGCGCATGCGCACAGCGGCACACACCGCCTAAGTAAACTTTAGACGTACTCGGCATTTGATGTTGGCACAAGGGTGGAGAAACAAGTATGGAGGGTGAATAATTACTGTATGGCTGGCGTCAGAAATGATTACGGCAGGTGACACATTACTGATGCTGACACGATGCTAGTGACAATGACAGGGAGCGGGGGGAGGGGGAGGAGGGGAGGGAAGACCGAGATACTTACGAATGGTGAAATGTTTGACGGCCCGCCTCATGCCCGTGGTTCTCTCT